TCCTAGTCTCCATCTGAAATAGAAAATGTTGTTAATGAAAAGCAAATATTGACCCATAATAAGAAAACTTTTTTTCCTTCGTAGCGAAAAAACGTAAATAATAGATGTTGATGCAGCTAAGAAAAAAAACTTGGTCCCTTTAACCCTTTTCCCCTTTCATACTTCCTCCGTTCATTATGTCTATTCTTGAAATAGAAACTTGATTTTGGACGGCGGCAATCTCGTATTACTACCGTATAAACTAGCAAATTAACACTTCAAACCCAGGCCACGCCTACTGCGCAAAATTACAAAAATGCTTGTAATGAAAGTTCGATGGTATCTAAAGACAATTTGGAGGTAAACTTTTTGAAAATTATTTTTATTTTCCCATCAGAAAGCAGCAAATTACCACAACAAATCTAGGCCACGCCTACTGGCAATCTCATAACCTTTTCGAAAATTATTTTCATTTTCCCATCAGAAAGCTCCTCACCTTATTCACAGCGCTATTTTTCGTGATCTCCGACAAGTGGTAGATGATGTACTTCAATGTGGCATAATGATGTCGGGGCAGCTTCCGCAACTACAAATAAAACAATCAATATATCGATTTGTTAAATATCAAATCTGATCATCCTCACCAAATTCCTCAGTTTGTGAAGCCGGTTGTGATGGCTTGCTATTCGATTTGCATCGATGAAAAACGGGTAAAGTTTGTCGGTGAGAAGAGGTTCGGGTAATTTTCTTAGGAACATTTTGAGCAGGCTGGATACGACATTGACATCTCGCCATCGTGGATCACTCAAATCCAGCTGGAAAAAGCATAGGTCAAAAAAAAAAAGATCCCAAGCAAATCTGTGCAAGCCACGCCCACTTCAAAACAAAAACAAAATAAATAACCCTAGACCCACATTCTCCACAGTCATCGTATCCAATGAATGTGCGAACATCTCTTTCAGCGCGTTCACCGCGGCTGTATTTCCCGGTATACGGTAGATACCAATCGTATCCAAACCGTTTGCCTCGACAACACTGACGCAAATCTGCACCACTAATGGCACGAGCTGAAAAAAGACACTTTTAAGCTATTTTTATG